AAAAAAAAAAAAAAAAAAAAAAAAAAAAAAAAAAAAAAAAAAAAAAAAAAAAAAAAAAAAAAGTGTGTGGTCAACAAAAATTAGGACTTTTTTCTATATTTGGAGTTTGACCTTAAAAACTGTTAGGGTGTTTTTGAAATTGCTTTTACAAGGTTAAAGCAATTATGGAGAACCGTTTTAATTTGTCTGTTATTTATTTCCACAAAATCACCTACTCATAGCTTTTAAACACAACTCCTATTTTCTAGCTAAAATTTTAAATTTTCAATCATAACTTTTTGGATTTCTTTTTCTTTCACATATATTTCATCTTAAATCAATAAAGTTTAATTGATTCGAATTTTTATAACTATCATATTTCCTAAACTTTTAACAAATGATATATATTTAAAAATAACTTATCAAAATTATTTAAATGTTTAAACATTTAATTTACAATAAAATAGATATTAACTACTAATTTTCCTATACCTAAATTGTAATAAATTTTTATTATTTTACCAAATACTACAGTATACTTTTTTCACTACCAAACACTAATTTGATTCCTTTAATAGCTCTAAAAAAACAAAAAAAAGTATAATAGTTTTTTTTTTAAAAAAAAAAAACAATTATTATTGAGTGAAATTCTAGTTTACTTCATCCTCCACATTCTTTATTATTACTACTATTTATAGCACTTCCTTCACTTTATAATTAAAGGTGGATTCAATTTTAATGGATGAGTTGTTATTAGGATATTTCTTCTTTTTTCTAAAAGATTGAAATGAATAATGACGTCATGCAATGACATCATCTCTAGCTTCTAGAAGTAGATCTAGAGCATTACTAATACAAATGTGAATATAAAAGGTAAATTAAATAAAATTTTAAAACATTATAAAGAAAGAAATACATATAGAGATGGATAATAGGCATCCTATATCACAATATAAAGGTGAATATTCTTTTTAGGAAAAATATTATATTTTAGCCACTTAAGTCATATTAAGATTAATAAAATGAAGGATAAACATTAAAAGTCAAATTTCATAATATTATGAATATTTTTATCAAAATTAACTATCATATGAAAATAACTTGCGAATAAAACATTTCTAACCATCTAATTCAAATTTATACTCAGTATTTGAACTTATAACGAAATTATCCTTTCTCGTCCACGCAAAAGACATTCAAGATTATTTGGAGCACGAAATGGCCATTCTTCTACGCTAAATAAATGTTAAAATAAAAATAAAAGAAGAAAAGAATGGATAGAATTTCATGCAAGTAAGAAAGTAAGTAGAGATTGAAGTCTTACCCTCTCTAATCGTTGAAGAAGTGCTGTTTTAAACTGCCTAACACCACGTCCACTCGAGCTCGGATCCAACCTGTGCGCCTTCTCAAATGCATAGAACCGACCTTTTCGGCGGGAAGAGGAAAGTGAAAATGAAAATGAAAATATAAATGTCTAATAGATCACAATAGCGGAACGGTGATTAAATTTGATTGAACATACAGAGATACGCGACACGAGGGCGTTCTGCTTCGATCTCTGTAGCGACGCGAAGAATTGGAGCAATGGACGCGAGAGAGGACGGAACAACCTCATTGTCGAATACCTCAGTCGAGAACGTGGTGGTCGCCGCACTGCGAGAGGGGCGCCTCGTCAGCCCCTGCGGGCCAGACTCGTGCGTGGACATTACAAAGGCCTGGAGGAAGACAAACCGCTATCCTCTAATTGACACCCTGCCAAAATTCCAAACTACAACATCACAAAAATCATTTCGCACAAAGCACAAGCAGCAATAACGAAAAAAACAGAACTCAAGGATCGACCTAGACTACTCGGATGCAAAATTCAATTTACGCAACAACAAACAACCACCACAACAAACATCCAGAACGCATTACGCAATACTTTACGTCTACGATTCAAAATCCGCATCTCAATCGCAACAACAACAAAAAAAAAAAAACGAAATGAAGAACACTCGAATAACGAAACAAAGTTACAAAGATTAATTAACGTACGTCAAATGATGGAAGTGTAAACAAAATTAAAAGCAGATTTTAGGATAAAATGGTTGAGGAAATGAAAAACAGAGAGGACAATGATAAAGATGAACAGAGAGAGAGAGAGAGAGTGAGTGAGTGGAGGAAGTAGAGAAGAAGGAGAAAAAAAAAGAAGGAATGTGTTGAGATTTCTGACCTTGTTGCTGAACGAAAGTGGAGGAGAGGCAAATGTGCAGGGGATGCGGAAGGAGGAATATATGATGGAGGGGAGGGGGAGAAATAAGGGAGTGATGCTGGGTAGAGTTTTGAGATGGACACGTGGCGGTGACAACGGGGGAAAACAGAGAGCATGGCTCAACGGCGTTATCGGGGTAGTTTTGTTTTGTTTTTGTATTGTTACTGTATACAATTTCCAAGGTGTCCTTCGTATTCTACACAGCCCCTATACAACTGGATCACCTCCATTTTTCTCCCCTTTTCTGTTTCTTTTCAAATACCCAAAACACCCTCTCTCTCTCTCTCTCTCTCTCTCTCTCAACCAAAATGAATGTAAACAAGCCAGAATGGCAGAAACAGAATATGCTCCACTCAGTCCTCATGGCCCTTTCCCTTAACTAACAAACCACCCTCTCAACTCGACCCGACTCACTACGTGGCCATGCAACTCTCGAACGCTCCTCCACTTCAACGGGTGAGAAATCAATCCAAAAGAAAAGTCTGATATCAAATGATAAAGAATCACTCCAAGAGAAATTTTTGATACCTAATGATAAGGAATATCTAAAAGGAAAGAAAGATTTAGATTACTTGTTGTTGATCGAATATCTCAAGGCAATGACGTTTGTTTGAGATTCAAATCACTCTACCAGCAAGATCAATCATGTCTAGCTTGAACTAAACTACATATAATTGCAAAGAAACTTAACCCTAATGATAAAGAATCACTTTAACGAGTTTAGAAACAAATACCTTGTTGATCAAATATTTAAGACGAGAACACTTGTTTGAGATTCGAATCACTCCACAAATAAGATCGATTATATTAAGCTTGAATTATTCTAAACATGCAACCTAAACTATATATAATGGTAAATAAACTTAGCACTTGCGAAAAGAAAACACAAATGCTCCTTTTACTACAAGTCTACTCTACAAAGATGATATACATGGTTTTGTATAACCTCGAAAACTCTTGATCTTGCCTGAGGCATTTTAAGAGTGGTAACCTTCATAGTTTATGACTATAATTAGCGTAGTTGTAAAAAGTAAATAAAAGTCTTAAAATATAGAAACATCATCCCTCTAAATTATCATTCATTCAAAATTTGTAACCATATAGGAATAATGAAATTTGATTCTTCTTGAACGTGACATGAATTTTAACCTCGAGTTATAATTTGAGCCACAATTCCTTCACATCCTTCTTGAAGTTTATAATGCATGATTGATACCTTGGTTCATATCATTATGCTTCTCCCATAGTACATTAGAAGACATTTTCAATATTTTCTTCCGTAGATGTCATTTTGGCGAACAGTCATACTGTTCATGGAGCATCCGTGGTGTTTGATTGACACCAAATTTGGCAAACATTTATATTTCATATAAACGAACTTGACTCTAGAATCGCATGTTCAAATTCTCTCCATAAATCCAACGATTAAAGCTCAGAGCCCTACCTGACCCTTTAGCAAACCTATCTATTACGCTCATGTCTACTTTGTTGCCCCTATCTTGCTTAGGTTTTTGCTTATGTCTCGTCTCTCTTCAATTCACATACTTTATGGTGTGTTAAATCTTAATAATACTGGAGAGAATGTCATGCTTGTTCAAAGCGCTCTTGCTTGTTTGAGTCGATTGATAGGGATGTCAACCAATTGAGTCCTAATCTTGCTTGTTTGGGTCGGTTGATAGGGACGTCAACCAATTGAGTGGAGGAGGATGTCACAGCAGTGTGTTAACCATTCAATTACACAACTTTGAATTACTGATTAAACTTAATTAAAGTACATTTGATATTAATTAATTTTTAACAAATGAGATAATATAAATAACACAAAATAAACCATTTAGACATACAATCAGGAAAAAATATAAAAATATATGAGTAATCTTTGTATTGAGTTTATCATAGACAGAAATTAAAAAGGAGAGTCGAAATTGTTTCTATACATAAAGAAGATAATCAAAATTTTGCGTTGAGGTTGTGTATAAAACTGAAGGCCTACAAAATATACATACAAAAAGATCAAAATCTCTGTTTTATGTATATGCTCTCTTTAAAATTAAAAACAAAGAAGAAAAAGAATCTGATTCTGTTGTAAAATGACTATCCATTGTATATAATATGAGATCTTGATGGAGTATGTTGCCTCGCATTCGTGGATCTCAAGTTTTGGTAGTGGTCGCCATGATCGTGGCGATGCGGTGACCTTTCTGCTTCTCCATGCTCCACCACCATTGTTACTCCGAACTGTTCCACTACCAAAACTGAAGCCGTCGCTGCTAAATCGGAGGAAGCTAGCAAATCGCCGATTACTCCAAGCTCTGGACATTCGCTCCAGTCTGTGAGTCCAGCGATGAGTGGCGATGCTTGAGCTTCTCCTCTGCCAACGATGAAGAGGTCGTGAGCACCGTCCATTGATCTTATGGCCGCCACTGTCTCCTCGCCGTTGTTCAAGATTCTCTGTGTGTATGTAATTGAATCGTTTTCTTCATTACTTGTCATGAATTCATTTATGTATTCTTCATCCAGCTGCCTCTCATTTTTCATATCTGTTTGCATTGCTGAAACTCCTTGTGCATCTGCTTCTTGTTTTGCTTCTAATACCTGTTCTGCGGCGATGAATCGCATTACGGTTAAGGTCACTCTTGGATTTTCTGACATTCTCCATGCGTATGCTAGAGCTTCTCTGTCGTCTTGTCCACCGAAGAACAACACGATTATGTTGTAATGAGACGCCTTGTTCGATCCGCTTTGATTCGAGCCGCTTAGGCCTCGATCGACTAGGATTCCGACGGAGCAAGGGGCATTGACTAACACATTTTGGTTAACCAATCTAAGTGCTGGATTTGTGGATTCCATTCCTCCATCCACTGTTTGTTGCTTGTGGAATGGGATGATTATGAAGGCGACGCGTTTGTCCTCGGCTAAATAGCAGATGTCTTCGTGCATTGTGGAGTAAGGGGAAATAGCTGTTAGAGGCTGAACAGAGACGCAATCGATGTGTTGTTCATAGTTCTCGAATGCACTGATGATATGTTCTGAATGAGCTTGGGTTCGATTTACGGCAGGGCGACCTGATTTTCTGGTGTTGTGGACAATGAGCATGGCGGAGGCTCGGCCTGTGAGTTCGACCAAGTGTAGCACATAAATGCAAATTGGGGATCTTTTGGTTGGGTTGGAAGCATCCAGGAGGTTGATGATTGTCGGCACATTTCGAGGTGTGTGGATGCAAACCAATACTCTGAACTCCGAATCTGGCTTTGAAGCTTGGATTGTTCGTTTCTTATACGGTAGAAGCCTTCTTGTTGGCCTATAGAGTATGGTAACTACAGGTGTTATTATCCCTGTCATAATGAGGGCTACAATCACCATTACTGTGAATGTTTGATCATCTAATATCTGCATATTCAATTTACATGGATTCTTTGGTAAGGATGCTATGAAAAGTGGAAAGGTTTATGGCAAAGAAAAAGAAAAACAGCCCAACTTTTGTTATCTGCAGATTATGGGGTATTCTAGCTTAGGATGTATTCAAGATTGTTGTTCTTGTTGGGGCCATTTAAGTTCTACTACATATGTCTCATGTATTTTCAAGATCAAGGAGGTACGGACAATACATGTTCAGAGTGTATACCTGTTGGTCCTTTCCGACGTTGAGGATGATCATTTCAACGAGGCCTTTGGTGTTCATAAGCAAGCCTAATGTGACACCTTCGCGATAGGACATCTGATAACAAACGGAGGCAAGGAGAGTTCCAATGACCTTGCCAATGAAAGCAAGGACAGTGATGAACAGAATAGATACCCAAGTCATTAATCCCTCTATGCTACTCACATTAGTCTTGAGCCCACTTATTGCAAAGAAGAGAGGGAGCAAAAGCCCTGAAACAAAATCCTCAAGTTTCTCAATCAAAGCCACTCCAAGTGATCCATTTGGGATGACCAACCCAAACACAAAAGCTCCAAAAACTGAGTGTGTTCCTATGGCATCTGTGATAAACCCTGAGATCATAACCCCTGTGAGGATCAAACAAATACTGAACTCACTCATACTTTCTCCTTCTGGGGTTTTTCGAATCATCCATGCGATAATCGGTCTAATTATGAAGATACAGAACAAGACAAAGCCTGTACTCGATAGTACAACCCATAGAGAAGCCAAAGATGAGGAATCGTTCTCAGACAAGGCTAGGGCTAAAGCTAAGAGAATCCAAGCGCACATATCATTGAAAAGGGCAGAAGCCATAGCCATCCTTCCAAGCTCTGAGTTTATCAATTTAAGCTCTGCGAGAATTCTAGCAAGCACTGGGAAAGCAGTCACAGAGAGTGCAATACCAAGAAACATGATATAAGTGCTGTAGTTCAATTTCTGATCTGCTTTGTGCAGCTGGAATGAAAAAGCAGCTCCTATTCCGAATGGAAGAACCATTCCTGCTGCAGCTATTGCCATTGCCTTCCTACCAGATCGACGAATCACTGAGAGTTCCATCTCCACACCAATCAAGAACAGAAAGTAGAGAAGCCCCACGTTTGCCATTGCTTCAAGCACCATTACACTTCTTAAAGGAAATAAAGTGTTAGAAAATTGATCACTCCTCCCCAGTACTGAAGGCCCCAAAATCACTCCACCCTATTACACGCAGAAATCAAGTGTAAAGCTTCAAATGCCAACAATTTAGCTGCAAGAAAAAACCCAGAAAAAGAAAACAAAATCTTGAACTCACCAAAATTTCAGAGATGACTCGAGGTTGACGAAAGGGTTTTAAGAGGAAAACCAAAGCGCGAGTCATCATAACCACCATTGTTAACTGCAGGATGAAGAGAGGGAGAGAATACTCCAAAGGGTTGTCGCCTTGCCACACCCCATTTGTTGTGATCATTCTTGGCGCATAGCAGACGATTTTATCCTCTGTGCTATTGAAGATTGAGGAATTCTCATCCATTTCTTCTTCTATTTGCTAATCACTTCTCTGTTGCAGTGCAGGAAAAACCACCATCAACAGAACCTTGATGAAACTTGTGGAAGCTAATGAAAGGTCTCATCCAACCAATGTGTAATCTTCGCAAGAATATGAGCCCATGAATTGTAAGTGTTAATACTTTCCGTTGGTTTGCATTTGCATTTCCTGTTTTACCAGTGAAGACTCCACTTGTTTGAATGAGGTGAAGAAAACAGAAGGAGAAATGTTGAAGTAATATTTGTATTTGAGAAAATTAAGTGAGGATCTGTGGCCACAGATAGATTGACTGTTTCTTTACCCCATATTCTTGATGGTTGAAAATGTAGGAGGCGTTAAACATGCTATTTTAGAGAATTAACAATATTAACCTGCGGTTTGTTAGGGAATTGACATGGAAAGACATTTTTTCGGGTTTTTTTTTTATAATTTTTTTTTTATATTTTTATAAGCAACATAAGTTACAATAATATTTAGAAACCATCACGGTTCATTAAAAAAAAAATGTAAAATTTAAAAATTTAAAAGGTATTTTCTTTTAGTTCAATGTGATGGAGGATGAAAGTCCCACATCCGCTCATTTATAGAGTGGTTATGAGTTTATGATCGAAGAATACTCTCTCCATTAGTATGAGGTCTTTTGGGGAAACACCAAGCAAAGCCATAAGAGCCTATACTCAAAGTGGACAATATCATACCATTGTGGAGAGTCGTGTCATCTAGTCCATCTAACATGGTATCAAAGCTATGAGAGCTTATACTCAAAGTGGATAATATCTTACTTATTGAGCAAAGTTCATGTGTGCAGGTATATTCTGGTTTGTTGACCTATTCCTAAAAGGTATCGATTATTTGGTTTGCTTATGATAAAAATAATAAATTTGTTTGAAAGGAGAACTTGATCTACAAGGAAGAAGGTAAATTGCACGATAAGACTGTGTTTGTCACATAAGCTTCGATGCTTAAGATATGTATGCTTTGTATATGTATGTCTATATACGTATCTTAGTATTTATATATATATTTTAATGGTGTGTTTCTTATTCTTGTTGTTTTAACATGTTACTCCTTTTCTTTAATTCAAAGTATTTTTATCAATATATATAGAAATATTTTTATTAATTTAACCTAAAAATCTAAAAAAAAAAAATGTATGACAAAATGGTGAAACAATAATTATTTGGCCGCTATTAACAACCCGTCCTCTCCCTTCAGTTTTATTTTATTATTATTATTTATTAAATTTTAAGAATATTAAAGAAAGTATAAATTTGGGTGATATTTTTATTAAGTCCTCCAATTATAACGTTTTTTCATTCTGTAAATTATAAATTAACTGCAATTCAATCATCCCGCCATTTCCAACTTTTTGCTTGCTGTGGAAGCTCGAGACAAACTATGAGTTTTCTAATTAGGGTTCATAGTTTCAATTTCCTTTTCCCCTCCCACCCCAACTTTCTTTCACCACTCGACCATGCCGATCGAAATGCCCCCAGGCCTGCCATTCTCGGTGGATACATGGACTCCTTCTTCCAAGCAAAAGCGCCACCATTTTCTAACGCACGCACACATGGATCACACCATTGGAATTGCCGCCGCCCATTCCTCCTTCCCTATTTTTTCTACTTTTATCACCAAATCCATCGTTCTTCAGCACTTCCCTCAGGTTTCTCTTCACTATCATATCATTTCTTGGTCTGTTTTTCTTTCCAGGACGCTTAATTTGACTTCGAGTTCTTGTTTCTTTTATTTTCGTAGCTTCATGATTCGTTGTTCGTATGTATCGAGGTGGGGCAAACGCTGGTCGTAAAAGATCCTGATGGTGATTTCACTGTTACAGTTTTCGATGCTCATCATTGCCCTGGTAATTTATTAATCCGACCTATGATTTGATGTGTTTGGATTTATTTTTACTTAAGAGATTTTACAGATTAAGGGCTTAAATCTACGCATCTCGATTGTCAGTCGGTTCCTATCCGCTAAGAATTTGAATTTTAGAAATACCAAAGATCAGCTGGCAGACCTGCTGCACACGATTATAGGATTAAGATCAACAGCGCATTGAAAGTTAATTGTTATGCGTGAAACTACGGGGTCAATGAAGCCATTACCGGGTCTCTGGGCTTTATTTGCTTCAATGAAGCAATTTGCCTATGTTCCATAGATGCTTTCTCTCTCTGATAAGATACATAGTTTCAAGGGAAAGAAATTCCCACAAACCATGACTATGAGCTAAAGTAAATTGCAAAATACAACCAAGCTATCTTATTTGTTTGATCAAAATAGGAGAGTAATTAAAGGACCTTTAAACAAGAAACTTCAAGAATCAACTTCTTAATATAAATAATATATTTGTTTGAATGAGTGATAGCTAGATGCTCACTTGGATGGTGTAAAGGGTTCGTCTATGAGTTTTTTGCACAACCCCAATGGGTTGGAAGTTAACTTTTATGCAAGTTTTTTCTCCGAGGTTTTTCCCCTCACCAACATGAAATTATCAACTATCAAGGATATTTTGGACGCCTTCATGTAAAGTCTGGGACCTTAATTCTTGAAGACACTTTCTTGAGGAAGGAATCGAAGAGAGGGCTTACCTTTCTGAAGTTCTTTTTCCATCTCTCCGCATGAAAGAACCAGACAAATTGATCTGGCCCGTTGAACGACCAGCCCCTTTTGGTCAGCTCCCTCACCAGCAATTTAGACCAAACTCAGTCTTTCTTTCTCTTCCCTATACAGTGAGCCTTGGCGCATGGAACACCCCAAAAAAAAGTCTAGTTCTTCCTATAGTAAACCAGCCACGAGAGTATATCAAGATGCAAACACAAGCTCCCTTTCTAGGTTGGTTTGTCTTATGTATGAGGGGGTGGAGGCACATGATCCTCTTTTCATCTATTGTCCATTGTTAACAACTATTGGTCCTCCAAGGCCCATGCTATCTCCCTTCATAGGACACATTACTCTGCCCAACAACCCAAGGTCCTTCCTACATCTTGACAAATCATTTTTTAAAAATGGAAAGGGAGATCCATTGACCATAGGTTACAAATTTTTTAATTCTAGCGACAATTTCCTCTGATGCCAATTATAAACAGTTTATGAAACTTACCGTTATAAAAATCTCACATCTTATTAGCACTAGAGTTTGAAAGAATTGGTCTTGCATATACATTGATACAATCATTAACCATGTAACTTTCATGAAGTTCTAGAGAACTTTGCCACAACCGCATCCTTATCAACAGCCATCTACTTTTGAAGGGTTGCCTCACTCGTGCCTTTTCAACTAGTTACAAGCTGTGAAAGAGTTGGGAAAGAACTCTAATTCTGTTGGGATAATTATGATTAGGGTCCTTGCGCTACAAGTTGTCATAGAAAAAAGTCAAGTATTTCCCTTTTAATTTCTTAGCCAGTGGGCAAGAATGATATATTATCTAACTATAGCCTAATGAATCAAATTCCCGACTTCTCCTGAAGCTATTTCTCAAGAAAAAATCTTGAGTTCATCTCCTTTAGCTATTGCACTCTGCATTTTGCCTTCCATTTTGTTTTTTCATTCTTCAGTAGATCCTCTGATGGATGTCTTGAGCAAGACTTTTGATTCTCTCTCTCTTCATAATTAGATCGAAACTTCTTTGTAATGCATATCCTAAATTTACACTTTATTTTTGGTCTCATAGCTATTATTTTTTTTAGGGGAATATACGTATCCCAATTTTTTTTAAAATTATGTTTGGACTTTTGTACTATTATTTTTCATTTTAGCATTTTTTTTTTTTTTTGTTTCGTCACTTCTCTTCTGTTTGCATTTTATCTTCTTGCCTTTTGTCATTCTTTTTCTAGGAGATCTTGTGGATTTATTCTGTGCATTCAAAATTTTATGTTATAAAACTATAGAAGCTGTATTGACAAATGATGTATTTCTCTGGCATGGATTATAAAATGGTTAGGAGCTGTTATGTTCTTATTTGAAGGCAATTTTGGCAATATTCTACATACGGGTGATTGCAGACTAACTCCTGAGTGCCTACAGAACTTACCTGAGAAGTATCGTGGAAAAAGTGGTAAAGAGCCAAGGTGTAAACTGGATCTGATTTTTCTAGATTGCACATTTGGTAGATTCTTTCAACAATTCCCCAGCAGACATTCAGCAATACATCAGGTAACACAATTTGTTCAATTATTCAACTCTTATTTAGATTTGAGAGTCAAGTGGATCCTCCATAGATTTCCAAATACGAGATCTGCCTATTACTGTTATCAACATAGCTAAATAAGAGATTTTCTGCTAGTTAGCTAGTTTTTTGCTCCTCTCTCTCTCTCTCTCTCTTTTCTTTTCTTCTTCATTTTTTATTTTTTTTATTTTTTTGTAATGAGAAACATGAAGAAATAAATGTATATATGTACACATATATGTATACAAAAGAAGTTGAACAAACTAAAGGTCTTAGGGATGAGGAATTCCTAAGCTAAATAGGAGTAATCAAACAAAAGACCTCCCATATAAGTTGATCAACAAAAGGAGTATAACAAATGTAGTGAAACTACAAGAGTTTGCATTTCCTGATTTCACTGTGAACGTTCTTCTCCACATTTTTCTGAATTCTTTTTAGATCTTTTGTCCTTTTTTTCTCCTCCAATTTTTGGGTTGTTGACGGATACTATCATTTGAAACCTTCCTTTATATATTAAATTTCTATAATTCATGGTGTATGATATCTTGGTGTCTGGTAATCTGTCCATCTTTTATTGTGTGCTGCTTGGATCTTTTAAGTCTGTCTGTATTTTCTTGGCTGTTGGGCAGAAGTCAATATTATGTACTTACGTTTTTAAAATATTAACCAATATTAAATGTGTATCTTTGCAGGTTATTAATTGCATATGGAAACATCCTGATGCTCCTTTGGTATATCTGATTTGCAGTCATCTAGGACAGGAAGATATATTGCAACAAGTATCCCAAACATTTGGTTCAAAGATATTTGTCGATGAATACACGAAAGCAGGTTACAAGGCTCTTGAACTTATAGATCCTGATATCCTCACTCAAGATCCATCCTCCCGCTTTCATCTGCTTCATGGATTCCCTAAACTATGTCAAACTGCAAAAGCACTGCTTGCAAATGCCCAGACCAATTTTCAGCCGGAACCTCTCGTAATACGCCCTTCGACTCAGTGGTATGTTCGTGAGGAATTGTCAGAGATTTGCAACACAAGGAAACAAATAATTAGTGAAGCAATTAAAGATCAGCACGGTATTTGGCATGTCTGTTACTCAATGCACTCGTCGAAGGAAGAACTAGAATGGGCCTTGCAAATTTTAGCACCAAAATGGGTTGTTTCAACCACTCCTGGTTGTCGGGCTATGGATTTGGATTACGTGAAAAAGAAACCCAGTTGGTCTAGTTTAACTTCCAATGGCCTAATCTGGAAGCTTTTTGGTTTAGCAGAGGAAAGTTCTTCAGATTTAGATGCTTCAGTGATTGAAGTGAGGTGTTCTCCTATAGTTGAAACATCCACTCTAAAAGATATGGATCCTCAACTTCAGCCTGCAAAATTGTATGCTGTTCCTAGAGAAAAGTTAGACATTTTGTCTCCAAGCAACTTGCCACCTCTCACATTATTCGGACGAGCTAGACTCGCCACCAAAGATGCCAATATGTTACCGGAAGAAGTTTCATATCCATCAACAGAGAATGAGCCTGTAGAAGCAGTTGGAGATAAAGTAGCAGACTTGTCCATTCACGATGCAAATGGTAGACCGAGTGACAAACCATCAAAACATTCTAAAAACGAAGTTAACTCCAAAGGAAAACACGAGAAATTTGCAAACGACAGGGTATTATTAGCTGATGAAAGCGCCTCTCATTGCTCTGATCGGGCTAGGCTCCATACTTCTGAAGTAGAAGTTGTGTCCATGAACAACAATAACCCACCAGAAGCAGTCAGCAGTGAGGTAGAAGAACTTCATGTCCATGAGCAAGAAAGTAGAGGTAAGGGAGACAAATCGTTAGACGATTGTGAAGATGTCGTTACCGTTCCCAAAACACACATTGGGAAGCTAGTAAAGGATGACAGAATGCCAGTGCGTAGTAATTCACATGTTTTAAGTGTTGGATCTTCAAAAGGTTTTAATGACAGGTTTAGAAAGTTGTACAGGTCAATGAATGTAGCTGTGCCGGAGCCTCTTCCTTCGCTTGTGGAGCTTATGAAATCCAGAAAACGGGCAAAGCGGAATGCATATTTCTAGACATAGCTTAGCTCATCGCTACTGGCAGCTTGCTAAGTGACAAGGTACACAATTTTTTTAGCAGTTTGTATTGCAAAGGTATATAGAGATGATAATTTGATTCCTTGTCCAAAGTTAGGAAGCTTAGAGATATTGATTTCTTTTTCAAATTCTTGATTGTACAATGTTGAGGAATAAATTTGATTAATTCATATGGTATGAATAAAAGTAGCACCAGATTTGGTGCTTCATTTTAAATGCTGTCTTATTGGTCTCTCTATTCTCTTTTCTTGTTAGGATCATATGTATATATTCTGGTCCATCTATTAAGTTGGTTTAGCACAACAGCCGTGTGTTGATATGTTTAGTTTGGTTTTTGTGCAACATGCGTTGGTTGGTGAATAGCTGAAAGAGGCAACTTTTTTTTGTTTGTTTGTTTGTTTGTTTTTCTACAAATGGTTTGCATGGTTTATTTGAGCAATGGATTAGGCACCAAATTTGAAGGTTTGAGAGAGAGTGCACCTGAATCACCCATTTCTTTCAAAGCCATCCAAATTAATTCTACCGTCTTTAAATTAGGTATTGGATTTTAATATTGAGATCATATTGTAAATAAATAAAAGCTTTAGTCATGGGTTGGGTGAGGCAGCAATAAGTGAATGACCAGACCCCCCACTATAGTGTTAGTGGAATTTTACTCAGTATCTTCATTGTTTTATTAACAAACTTTCTTGGTGTTCTCAAAAAGGGATTATAAATATTCCTATCCTTTTATTATTATTATTTATTATTATTATTATTGACAGAAAATATATTTTTTAATGAAAAAAAAGTCTGTGACAACCTTTCTTGAGTTTTAATTATTTTATTTATCTAAAAGTGACTGAACTTCAAATTCTTTAATAAAATCACCCATAATTGTACGATCAATTTGCCAGCTTCCTCTTAGCTTGGGTTAATGAAAGTGTGAGATTCTATTGTTCAAGTTTCGGAATCAATATTCTGGGGAACTACTTATAATTTTATCTCCTAAGCTTGCATTCCCAACTCCTATTTTGGTGAAGTCTCTATTTTGGTGAAGTCTCTATAATGATAAACATATTAAATCGACAATAAAAAAACATTCTCACTCGTGAGAATTAAAGGATAAACCCTCGTAGGCAGAAGTTTATAATTCGCTCCAAATTAAAATCGAGTCACATGTGATCATTCTATCAAATGTTAACCTTCTCAATTAATAGATTTATAAAAAAAGATCAAATATTTTATAGTCCAGTTTTACACTAGCTCATTGCATAGGATATCTCACTCACATGTCTTCTCATGAATAATTTGGATCAAATAATTTATAACAATTATAAAGTGAGTTGTATCAATAGTGTTATCAAGAGAATAATTTGGATCAAATAATTTATAACAATTATAAAGTGAGTTGTATCAATAGTGTTATCAAGATAGGACAGTAAACTTTATCTATATTCTATAACTTTTTAAGTATTACTTAAAGGTAAACATGATATCCTACGTTTCAACCATAGTGAATTAATATTAAGTTAATAGAAATAAAATTATCAAAATTATTATTAAAAACAGCATAAATACCTACATGAGTCCACCCATTTAGGTTATCAAATCCACCCAACAACAATCTAGACCTTTTAATTTTGTCATTAAAGAATTTCGAGCCAAAGTTATGATTATAAATTTTGAATTTTTAGACCTAAAAAAAATTTGAAGAGAGGAAGAAAAATAAATATTTTCAGTAATATTATTATACTTTAACCTTGTTTATCCAAACTTTAGATAAAAATATTTTTTTTAACTTTTTTAAAAGGGAAAGGATACTTTTAAAAGTTTAGAAATATGGTTAACCAAACTTTAATATTATTCCTAAAAAAATTTAAAGGTAAGAATATTTTTAAATGTATTGGTATTTTTTAAACTTTCAAAATTTAAAATTGAGGAGTTTTATTAAAAAAGAACTTGATATTTATTTGGAAACAGATTGGTTTGAGTGGATTGAAGTTTGGATAGATTAATTAGGCAAAAACAAAAGGAAGTGGTGATATAGCTACCGCTCAAACGCGTTACTTTATACCAATATTCCCATTCAAATTCCACATTTCCCCCAATGATTTTTGTAAGTCCCAACTTTTTGCTGATTTTGGGTATTATAATAATAATCCCCACAAAAATCCATTCCCTCCTTCTGTATAACCTGAATTCTATTCAACCCCGACGATGTACAACAAGTTTTGATTTCCCCCTGCCACCATCTTCAACTGGGTCCTCCACTTTTCCATGTAGAAGTTTCCTGTTTCATTCGGGGGGAAGAAAGAGTCGATCGATTCCTTCTGGGTTCTTTTTATTTCGCCCAATTTCACTGATCATGGCGACGACGACAACGACGACGACTATTCTTTCTCAATCTCCAAAAGGGTTGTAGTTTCTTCATCAATTATTCGGTTTCTCTTTACTTTGAGCCATGCTGTAGTTCGTCGTCCCTGAGTTTTCTGGAATCGAGAAGTTGATCGCCATGCTGTTGCTATGTGGAAGGTCTGATGAGTCACAGGTGATTTTTACTATTTCTTCTCCAGCATGATTGCTGCTTCAACTTTAATTTAGAATCATCACCGTCTCTGTCTCGTTTTGGATGTTCAGATAGTGATGTCTGTTTAGGAAAGAAGATTATTTAGGAAGTTTTTGGAGCTTTACTTTTGAACTTTGGGAACTTAATTAAGTTTTTGTTTCTTTTTCTGGTAACTAGATGTGGAATATTGGGAAGTTAAATACCTTTGTGAGGAAATGGACAAATTCGGGCATCGGATTTGTAGCCACAACGCCGTTTACATCATAAACTCATAAGTTTTCGCCATGATTAAGGATTTTTTTAAAAAACTTAATCCCTAAAATAGAATGATTACTAAAAGAATTAGAGACACAACACCATGAAGAAAGTCTGGAGTTTCACAAGGTATATGAAGTTGCTTCAGAAGGAATTTTCATCGTCTCCTACTAAAGCCACCATGAAAGAACAATTAACAGACCCACTTGATTGGAGATGAAAATTGGGCACCCCTTCTGAATTTTTTTCTGCTGTATTCAAGCCTTCATAGTGGATGGACCATATAAATTTGTTTTTGATTTTCTTATGATTCATCCCCTTCTAGATTGCTGACTGCACTCTTTTGCCCACTGTAACAATGTCACAGATGATGTGTATACTTCTGTTTGAATTTCTTTATTTGTTTCTTCTTTTCCCCTTTCATTTTTGTCCATATTTGTAGTTAATCACAATGAATTATGAACTGTATTATGAATGCTCTCTTCCTTTCTTATATCTTACATGGCAGTGTTCGAAAACGAGAATTAATTTGTCTAGCTCTGGTTTATGCCTTTCTTCTGTTTCATAACCTGCCCCCTTCTGTGTTCCTTATAGCCGTTTGATACCCAAATGTATGCATTTGCAATACACAATAATCAGTGACATTTTTCATGGAAGTTCCTGTATCTACTTGGTCTTTTGTTCTTTAGACCTCTGCCCATAGGATCCCCTCGGAGTCTTTGGATTCTCTATTAACCGAACCACTTTCGATATGAAATACAACTATATCGTTAGCGGTGGAAAAAAAGAGTGTTAGATTGCAAGTCATATGGAATAACAGGTCAGAGATTGACTGCAGCTATAAGAGTAGTTATCAGTTTTTTTTGAGGACTGTATTTCTGTTCAATATTGGACTTCTTAAGTTCTTCATCTTCAGCGTTTATCTGGGATTCTAGATTCATCATTTCTGTCTCATGTAGCGTTATTTTTTTTCCGCGGTAAATATGTTGTATTATATAAAATTAAAGAAGAAATCAATTTATCCATAATTTTTCTTGTTGACTCCCATGTAGGTAATAATTGGAGATGAAGCAGTTTAGAAAGAAACCACTTTCAATCTGAAATACAACTCTACGACTTTACTGTTGCAAAACGTGTGTCAGATTGCTAGTCATAGGAATAACAGTTCAGAGATTGATTGCAGCAAAAGGAGAAGTAGTTAACAAATTTTTTTTTCACATTGGTTACTTTCTTTCTATTCAATGTTGCATTTCTCCTGCTCTTCATATTCAGCATTTCTCTGGGATTCTAGATTCGTTCTTTTCGGTTTTAAGTAGTGTTATTATTTTCCCCTGTAAATGTATGGTAATATATAAAATTAAAGTTGAAATTCATTCTTATCATTATTTTTGCTTGTTGGCTCTCATGTAGGCAATAATTTGAGATGAAGCATTTTGAAAATGGTGGATCTGACTTGGAAGAGGGTAAAATGGGAAAGGAAAAAGACAAAGCATTACGCAATAATAGGGACCAGGCCTTATTGTCTGGCCTTGCATACTGTGTTTCCTCATGCAGCATGATATTGGTTAACAAGTTTGTGCTTTCCAGTTATGACTTCAATGCCGGGATATCGTTGATGGTCTATCAGGTGAACATTATTGAAAATATGCTATCCTTTGTAGAAGCTTAATATTCACTGCTGTTTACCACACCTTTTGAAAGTTAAATGGAAGAATCATAAGTTGTTGCTCCATTTATTTATGCAGAATCTTGTATCGGTGAGTATTGTAATCGTAATGAGCTTTATGGGCATAATATCCACAGAACCACTCACATGGAGACTAGTTAAAGTGTGGTTGCCAGTAAATATTATTTTTGTTGGGATGCTCATTACTAGTATATTCAGGTATGATCTTTCATTCCCTTATTGTTTAATTACAGAATTTAAGTATGTGTTTTCTGAAAGGAAGTTTAGAAAATTTCAGATTCGACATTTTTCAATGATCTTTTTGGAAATATGTGCATAATTGTGATTTTTTAAATGCTGATCATCAAACTTAGTAAATAATTTGATTTCTACCTACGCTTCTTAAGGAACATTGGCACGCAAGACCATCTCACGTGCCCCAAAGATTAAAAAATGGATTCAGTAATGCATGTCAACCATAAAGCTAACAAATACCGGATTTCCCCCCGTTGGCTTCAATTAACCGAACTTTTTTGAGTCTTGTATTGTATCTTAGTGTGCACCAAATAGTCTTCTTGCTTAGATGGCATATTCTTCTCACACTAATTCGGCTGCTAAAGTTTGTTCGGAATCATCTGCTATTATTCAGACCAATTTTTCTAAAATGAAGCAATTAAGCAAAAGAGGCCTTCACCCATTTTTCCTTCTACCATTGTGGTTCCAGTTCTGTCTATCATACAGTCTCAT